TCTAATAGGAAGCTTCAATTGATTGAGCTTGAAGAATTACGTAAATGATGCTTAGGAGAGTGTTAAGGTTTATAAAGCAAAGACTAAGGCATTTCATGACAAGCATATTTTGCGTAAGACTTTTGAGCCAGGGAAGAAGGTTCGGTTGTTTAATACACGACTGAAGCTTTTTCCTGAAAAGTTAAAGTCACTTTGGGAAGGTCCATACATGGTTATTTCTATTACACCTTATCGTCCAATAGAGATACAAGATTGCAAGACAGGACAATTGTCCAAGGTTAATGGACATAGACTTAAACCCTACATGGGGGTAACCTAGGGGTTTAAAGGCTTGTTGCATAGGCTAAATGCAACCGTGATTCCCATGAAATCAGCTTTTTAGTTCTATATTGCTAAGGGACTGGCAATATGTAAGTTTGGGGGTGTGATGAGTGCTGAATATATGCATATTCGAGCCCCTAAGTACGTATATGTTAGGACCTAAAGTGATACTTCTATCCATTATTAGACTAATTTCTGCTTTATGTGTGTTTTCAGGTACTTTCCTAGGTAAATGATCAAAACCGAGACTTTATAACGATATCAAAGCTTACAGAGTCGTTGTCGGTCATTCAGAGCAAGCCGAGAGCTAAATTGGTGAATTTTAAAGCAATTGAAGCCTTAGAGCTCAAGCCCAAGTGTTGAGGTTCGAGCATTACAACAAAGAAAAGAAGAAAAGTCAACAAGGCCAATTGCTCGAGTATCAGTACCTTGATGCTCGAGCCTTACTGCAAAGATGCTTGAGCCTTACCACAAGGGTGCTCGAGCCTTAACAAAAGGTGCTTGATCCTTGACCCTGAAGCTCGAGCATTAGGCGTCGGAAATATGAGTTGATTTTGGAATTAAAGGGTTTCGTGCATTACCTCCATGATCAAGCACTATCACCAAAGGATCGAGCATCAGTTCCTTGATGCTCAAGCAATGACAATATAGTGATCGAGCAATGTTAAAGGAAAAAGACGCTTTGGAAAAATAGTTCAAAGAAATTGGCTAAGTGTCAATATGGTGATCGAGCACTATTCACTAAAGCTCGAGCATCCATCCAGTATTGCTCGAGCATGAGTACTAAAGCTCGAGCATCCATTCCTGAAGCTCGAGTATTGCACGACATGTCAGATTTAAAGCTGCGGGATTTCTCTTTTAATCACGGCATCTCATCCTAGTTGGGCCAGAAGACTTAAAAGCCCATAAAATACATATTTTCTTCTATAAAAGAAAGTGTAGGCCTTGATAGAAGGGGGCCAAAATTTCTATTTCTTTTACGGTGTTATTCCGAAGGCTGAAGGTGCGGTGGCTTTTAGGGTTCCTACAAGCTTAGAAGTGCAGATCCCTAGAAGAGAGGTGCCGTCCGTGGTAAAGGAGATGAACTCAACACAGATGCTATCCAACATTGTCATAACTAGCTAATCCCTTTCTTAGGGCACTGATGTAACCCAACGTTATATTATGGTTTGATTGTTTTGACTCTGGGGTTATTTTAATATACAAAGTTTTCTTGATTATATGACTATGAGTACTTGAGACAACGCAAGTGGTTTTTTATGCTGTAGTAGACTATAAATTGTTATTACATTGTCTTAAATATGATAATTTATATTCTATTCTCAACCTACCTTGTTGTACGGTATCTAGCGGAGCCCTGCCGGACACATGGATAGAGATCATATAATGATGTTCCAATGTATTTTGCAAAAGAACATTTTCATAATCTATGCTTAGGAAAGGTGGTTCATTCACACAATAGTTATAGTAGGTAGGTGAATAGTCCACGCTAACCACAAATAGGTTATAGTTAGCTAAATTTGTAGAATATCTTTCTTTAAACTCCGAACTGAACGAATATTATTGAGTTCAGTTCATTTGAAAACAAAATCAGTTAAAATCCCATAATTGATTCAATTGACCATAGTATAACGATTGTGGTGAAGTCAAAGCCCTGAGATTTCCCCTCTCTGATCATTTAATTTAGTTTAATTTGCTTTAGTTAATATTTTGTTTAATTCAAGTTTGTTAAATTTGACAACCAACAAACTCAATAATCAAGTTTTTTGTAAACCATACGACTAATTTAAAGGCTAATACGAACTCCATCTCTCTGTGGGTTCGACATCCTCTTTGCATAGAGCTATATCTTACACGATATTGTACGATTGCGAGAGAAACACATCAAGGGTGCTCATTTATGTAATAGGTATTTCTGTACCTTGATGTAAAGATACTCCATTACTCATATAGTAGCTTCTGCCTATCATCCCCAAACAAGTGGCTAAGTAGAAATATCCAATCGTGAAATTAAGAGAATTCTTGAGAAAACAGTTAAGCCAGATTGTAAAGATTGGTCTTATAGACTGAACGATGCTTTGTGGGCTTACTATACTGCATATAAGACTCTGATTGGTATGTCACCTTACCGCCTTATCTATGGTAAAGGGTGCCATCTTCCTGTAGAGTTAGAACACAGAGCTTTCTGGGCCATTAAAAAGCTTAACTTTGATATGACATCTGCTGGTTCTAATAGGAAGTTTCAATTAACTGAGCTTAAAGAATTACGTAATGATGCTTATGAGAGTGCTAAGGTTTACAAACTAAAGACTAAGGCATTTCATGACAAGCATATCTTGCGTAAGACTTTTGAGCCTAGGAAGAAGGTTTGGTTGTTTAATACATGATTGAAACTTTTTCCTGGAAAGTTAAAGTCACGTTGGGAAGGTTCATACATAGTTATTTTTGTTACACCTTATGGTGTAATAGAGATACAAGATTGCAAGACTGGACAATTGTCCAAGGTCAATGGACAAAGACTTAAACCCTACATAGAGGGTAGTTCGCAGAGAGGCACAGTTGAGGTAGTAGAACTTTATGATCCTATTTACTTGGACTAGAGAGGTCAGGTTTTCGTCGAGCTATCGACATTAAACTTAGCATTTGTATGTCGTACCGTAGTTTATTTTGTTTTTATTTTATTTTGTTATTTTAAGTTTTTGATTTAGTTACTTTCTTTCCTAGGTTTAGGTTTGTTTTAGTCTATATTTCAATTTTAGGTTAGTTTAAGTTTGAATAAAATGGAAAAAGAAAATAAAATTTGAAATAATCCAAAAATCCAAAAATTTGTCTCCATGTTCGAGCATCATTAGCTCCATGCTCGAGCATCAGCAGTGAAAAGCTCGAGCATGAGTACCTAATGCTCGAGCATTTTATCATCGTAAGATCTAGGGTTTTCAGCGGCCATACTCGAGCATCCAAATTGATGCTCGAGCCTCTGTACTTTAAAATAAAAGAAACCCTCAAGCCATAGATGAAACCCTCGTGCCTTTGCTCCTAATTGCCTCTTCTTCATTCCAAATCTCTCCAATCTTTTCAAATTCCTATCTTACATCGTTTTAGGGATTCAATCTTCGTCAAAAAGGTATGAATTTCTTCCTTCATCTTAGTTTTATATAGATATATATATATATATGTATATATATCCCTAATTTCTTCTCCATTTGATGATTAAACCTAATCAAAACTTTCCTTGTGAATTTATACACTTCAATCTAATGTTAAATCTATAATCCTAACTCGCAGAAATTCCAAATCTTAAGTGCATTTGAAGAACACGGGTGAGGAAGATTTGGGGTGTTTGAGGAGAAGTTTATCAACATTTGGGTTTCGTAAGTGATTGAAGAGAAGGGTTGGGATCGATTTGGAGTAGTTGGGATCATTTTTAGAAGAATTGGGAGAGGTTTTGCTTCAGTTGAAAACTAGGAAGCTCGAGCCTTCAGATTAAGGCTCCAGCATTTGCTTGCAGCAGGCTCGAGCATCAGGACCTTAAGCTCGAGCATTAGCTAGTGCAAGGCTCGAGCATTGGAGCACAGAGTTGGGGGTTTAGCTTGGATATTATTCTTAGATTATAGCGATGCTGAGACGGTCGAGGCAGAGAGTTGTTAGGATGCCAACGATGGCGTTAGATGATTTATGGCTGTATAACAAGATCTGTAATGAGACAGATTTTGTTATAGAGGATTTTTAGACACACCGTGATACATTTTGGGTAGTTAAGGCCCTGCAGGCTCGCCAGCTCTCTGGGTTTTTTAGGCATCCAACACAGATTTCCTACCCCAGGCTGGTGTGAGCTTTCTACTGCTCCTTGCAGTTCCATGCAGGAGATGAAGAGGAGGATGAAGAGTGTAATGACCCGGTCATTTTCCTTCCTTTCCCTTTTCTCAGATTTTTACGGATATTTTTTTTCCGTTGATCTTTCTTTTCTGAGTTCGGTTTCTCGTCACTTAGTGTCATTTTGAGTGCTCTGGAATGATTTCCGAGACTCTTTCCTTTGGATTGACAACTTCCTTTGAGGACCGAGTCATTTCCACATTTTTCATTTTTCGACACTATTCACTTTTCGTCTTTTCCCTATTTTGTCTTTTTTCCCCGTTTATCAATTTTCCTTGCATAACCTCACTTTGCATGTGTCCATGACATTTGATTTCCATGGCAATTGTATTTTTACTTTTGTGGAAAATACATTCTAGTTCATTACTTTTTCATAAAGGGCATGGATGCATATTTTAGTGTAATTATTCATAACTTTTGGGGTTTTTGTGTAATTACTGTAAAGTAATTATTTTTCTTCTTAGGGACCTTTTTGCAATTTATTTTGGGAGATATTTTGAGAAAGGACCATTTTGCAACTTTAGGAAAATGTGACAAGTGTCACATTCTCATGGTGCCACTTGTTAGCAATTGAGTGGAGAGACTTGGTACCATAGTTTCTTGACATTTGGTGGGTGGAGATTCATCCATGTGTTGGCCTTTGATTGGTGCATATGTTACCATTGATTGTTGACAAGTGTAGGTCTAGGATTAAGTCTTGGAAGAGGCATTGGATTGGTGACAAGTGTAGGGCCATGATTTAGTCTTGCATTATGTGTGTGTGAGAGGTAGTGCAAGAGCACATAGTGAGTGGAGGATCTCTAGCCCTTCCACTCACCATTTTACACTTTACCTTCTTCATTTCATTTCTCTCAAAAACCCTAGCAAAGACTCCATTGGAGGAAAGCTTAGTTCATAGCTTATCCCTTCAATTTGGCTCACTTCCATTCACCTTAGAGTAAAAAGCTTGGGAGACAAAAGCTTCCCCTCATCCTCCTTTACAAAACCCTTGAAGGATCTAGCCTAACTCCTAGTTTTGCTTTGGTATCTAGAGATTTAATTCTCTAGTGAGGTATTGATCTATGATTTTGAAGTATTTTTATGTCATTATTGAGTGTTTTACATGCATGGAAGAGAAGAACTTGTATTCTGCCCTAAAACTGTTTTAACTCAAAATTTATCTTGTTAAATTAAATATAGAACATGAAAATATAATCAATTAGCTTTCATTTAGTTTTGGTTTCATGTAAATTAGATTTAAAATGAATTAGTTATGAATTTTTGAAATTGCAAGCTAGTTGCTGGAAATTTAAATCTTTTCCTTATCTGGTCTGGAAATGAATTTTTATATGGAGCTGTATTGCTTCAATTTCCTTGACAATTTTACTGGAACTTTCCCCATGGGTTTTACACTACTCAGATTTTTTTCATAATTTTTGAGAATGTCTAAATTTTATTAAAAATCCGAAACTATATGGTGTCCATGTTTTTACTACAGCTGGAAAACATATTTTTTGATGATTTATTTCACTAACCTTTTGACATTGGATCATGGGTTAAATTTCCATTTTTACACTCTCATATGTTTACTTCGAAAAGAAATTAAGTTTGCCCAATTTGGATGTCAAATGATTTTTTTTATGAATTTTCAAAGTTGGAAGCTACAGGCTGAAAATGTGTTTTCTGGGCAGAATTTGTTTCGAAGTTGTGGGTCAAAATTGTTTCAATTGGGAAAATATTTTGTTAAACTAAATTGATATTATAAAATTACGGTGTTTAAGCTTTCATTGGGCTTTGGATTCATACAATTTGGATTAGAATTGAATTTTTTATGAATTTTCTAAGTTGAAGGTAACAAGCTGAAAAATCTGTCTTGCGGACCAAAAGTTTAGATCGATTTCATTTTGGTGGTAATTGGGATTTTCATTCCAATTGAGGTAGGGGATGTTTTAGGATTTTGTATGTGTTGTATTAAGTGTTTTCCATGATTATACAACTTGTTTGCATGCCTTGTATCAAATCTAGAATATTAGTAATATTTATTTCTTTCCATAAGATTTAATTTACAAGGATGTCTATAGCGTAGAATTGAATTGTGGCATGATGATAAATTATGTTTTGATATATTTGTTAACATATATTAAATTGGAATTATTTGAATAAGAATTGCACTTTTTATTTAATAATTATCTTTTGTGAAAGTTTAATTCTCATGGATGTACCTTACATGAAATAAACTTGTGATATACTTTTAAATTAAGTCTTGGCATGTTCTTTAACATACTTTAATTTGAGAGCATTTGGATGAGTATGAAAATCTAGAGATCTTAATTAAAAGGATTAATTAAAATCTATTTAAAGGTTCCATTGACTTAATTAAGTTTTTACTTGATATTGGTGATGACTAGGACTTGTATATTAGCATATGTTAATTTGGAACCATTTGATGTTGTTTTAGAATTTAGGGATTTGATTATCATGATTTAATTAAATTCCATTTTATTGTTCAAATGACCTAATTAAGTTTTTGAATTGGTATGTGCAATGATCATCCTATGTTGTTTAACATGTGTTGATTAGGGATCATTTAATTGAGATTTGAAACCTAGAGAAATTAATTAGGCTATGTAATTAATTTCCGTTTCTATTGCGTTAATGATTTAATCATGTGTTGACATTGATAGTATGTTTAAAGCATGATTTTTTAACTTCTAATGGATTTATAAGTTATGCTTTCAATTTTGAATTATACTGTTATAGCGTGTAACGAATCGCACACTGAAGATTCGACATGTGATGTTATTATAGCGCGTAACGAATCGCGCTCTGAAGATTCGGCATTGTCATCCTATAGTAGTTGTGGATTTAGACCATGTATTGTGTAGTTTCAACCTACTTGTGCATGGAATGTAGTTTCGTGTTGTATATAAATATTTCGTATATAAGTTGTTAATTTATTTATTTTGGAGTCACTTGGGACATGGTTACTATAACATGGCTAGAGTTTGGCTCTATTGTGGGAGGTATGAGTTCTCCCCGTCGAGATAGTGCGCACTAGGGGTGGTATTACCAGCAGGTTAGTCCCCGTAATAGCCGTTGAGGTCTCGGCAGAATTCCGAGCTTAAATGTCCAAGTATTCCATTACCTGATTTCGCACTTTTAGATTTCTAGTTGATAAACTAGAGAATCTATGTCTTGATGTGTGGTATTAGAAATTCTAATTATACTAAATTGCTATATTTAGTTGATTCCGTATTTTAGATTTCAAGTTGATAACTTTGAGAATCTATATCTAGTTACTTTGTATAGCATGCATCTATGTCGGTTAAATTGCATAGATATTGTGATTTGCGTCTTGTTGTTCAAATGTAGCTTAGGAATGATCATATAGATTCATTTGGAACATAGACGTTAGGTGGCATGACCCACTTTGTCGTTTTCGTATATTAGATTTCAAGTTGATAACTTTGAGAATCTATATATTGTTTCTTGGTATAGCATACTTCTATGTTAGTTAAATTGCATAGATATTGTGATTGTGTTTTGTTGTTCAAACGTAGCTTAGGAGTGATCCTATAGATTGATTTGGAACATTGACATTAGGTGGCATGACCCACTTTGGTTGTTTTCGCACTTTAGATTTCAAGTTGGTAACTTTAAGAATCTATATCATGTTGCTTTGTATAGCATGCTTCTATGTGGTTTGAATTGCATGGATGATGTGATTGATGCTAGAAATGATCTAGGGTAGCTTAGGATGCTCCCTGAGTCTCATTTTAACATAGACGTTAGGTGGCATGAGCCCCTTTAGCATGTTTCACCCTAAGGTGATAAAATTGTAAAACGTTAGGTCGATGCATGCTCATTTCCTACAAGTAGCTTTATGTTGCTCACCCCAAAGTTACTGGGGCATATTTCAGGTACAAGATACAAGATACAAGATTGGAGATTTGCATTTGCTTTGGTGATTTGCAGAATTGAAGTTTCTTTAGAAGCATTCTTGTTCACATGCAAGTGTTAGCATGTTTAAGTTTTTCCTATGAAATGTAATTTTTCCAACTTAGAGGTTTGACATGTTAAATATTGTAAATGAATTGTAATAAGGCCATAGGCCATTTCAGTATATTTAAAATGTTGTTTTACACTTGCGTGTAGGTTCACATCATCACACACTTGCATATAATTAAGTTTGATCATGCAATGGGGGATTCAAGTGAGGCTTAAAGTTTCTTTCTTTTTTTTTAGTTTTGGTGTACGTGGTCTAGTTTGAACTAGATTTTGTCCCTTTGGTTGTCATTGGTGCCATAGGGTACTATTTGACCCTTTTCATGTTAGTTTTTGCTTCCAGTTATTTGCTTGAGCTCCGTGACTTCATGGAAGGTCACATTGGTGTCTTGGTGATGATTTATATCTCTATAGACTTTGGTTTTTATCTTTTGCTTCCGCATTTCATATCCGTTATCGGGTCAACTTTTGCTTCATCACTGACGCACCGGGTTGAAAAACTTGGGCAGTCACAAAGAGGACCACTTCACAGCCACTGTCGAGGGCATACAACTGACAGTGAGCTGTGACACTATTGCTCAGGCTATGGGTTGCTATCACAGGTGCCCAGTCGCTCTTCAGGCTAGATTTCCACAGATTCCCCTAGGCACGACCCGGGAGGCAATGGTCCATGCTTTGGGCCAGGGCTACATGCCTCCACCTTAGAGACGATCCAGAAGTCACAGCTTTCGAGACGTTTTTGGTTTTTGGATATGGTTCTTGTGGCCAATGCTCGCCCTATCAGACACAAGTTAGTGCGATGTGCTGAGATGGTGGATGTGACCTATGCATTCCACACCGATTACTGGGTGTCTATTCCCTAATTAGTGTTGGTACAGCTTCACCGGTAATATGAGGAGATGGGAGAGGCCCGACGCCCTCCTATTCATCATATTCATTTTCCTAAGTTGGTCACACGCTTGATGGAGATAGCGGGGATTTTGATACCCCCGAATGAGGCTGATGTTACTGTCTTCACCCAGTATCATTTCACGTAGTGGAACAACATCTTCGGGCATATGCCCAAGAAGATGAAGCTGGAGTGGGGTGTTGACGATGAGTTCCGAGAGGAACGAAGCCGACGCGAAGGGTGTGCCTTATGAGCTGCACTTTCCACCTTATCCACCCCCGCCTACTATTCTTCCTACAAACCATACTGAAGTGGTGATGCAGCGGTAGATGAGGATGGGGATGGCAATGATGATGATGAGGCTACAGATGAGAAGATGTATCTCTCCGATTCTAGACCTCAGGTTAGGAGGAGACCCGTTTCTGTAGCCCAGCCTGAGAGTTCTTCTCAGGCTGAGATTAGAGCTTTATAGGCCAGGGTGGCCAAGCTGTATGATGGTCAGATATTGCTGCGTTAGATGTTGACTACGCAGCAGAGCATATTGGAGGAGTTACGTCATCGCACTTCGTCCGATCCATCCACTTCTTCTGTTCCACCACCACCACCTATGGATTAGTTCTTAGGACTTTTCTATATTTTTATTGACTAGGGCAGTTCTTTTTTATGTACTTATTTCCATATAATGTATATCTGCCCTAAGTCATTCTTTTCAAAAGCATTGTACTAATTTCTGATATATATACATGTTTTTTGTTCTATTTCCTTGTGTTGATATTTGTCTATGCTTACTCTATATACTTGATACTCTGATGTATGTTGAAGTTTATTAAATTACCAGATACAACAGATTAAGTTTGGGGGTGATTTTGAGAGGAACCACTATATTGTAGGAGACAATGCTGGAAACTCATTTTTACCCTTCTGTGCATTACATTGTCATATCTTTGTTAGTTTGCTTGTATGGTAATATCTTTCTCACTCTCTTTTATTCTCACACCTTGAGGACAATGTGCACTATAAGTTTGGGGGTAAGGTTGGCTTGAAATTTTAATTTTTGGCTTACTCTGTTTACATAAGGATGTGATTTAATATTTGATGATATAAGCATGTGTTGAGTTTGTTGATGGTTATATATTCTATTTGCAATCTGATATTGGTTAGAAATGGTTTGTATGCTAAATTACTGTGAAAAGGAGTCCTTAAAATTTTTTAAAATCAGTTAGTGGCCTGTGATTCACTCTGTTAGAATAATTGTTGTTTAATAATGCTGATCTCTGAGATGCTACACTTTGCACAATATTCACACTTGCATGAAGTCTGTGAGGGTAGAAATTGGAAATCTTATTTTGGTTTGAATTAGACTGAGTTGATCAAGTAGATTTGATAGTTTTGATGACCGAGGCATAAGAAATAAAAGGAAAAAAAAAAAAAATTTCTTCACCAATGTGAATGAGAAATAAAAAAAATAAAAAAAAAGGAAAGAAAAGTAGAAAATGATCAAGTTCAGGTTTGTACTTAGATTGCTTGAGTGATTAAGTCCTTAGGGGTGTGTCCTGACACCTAATGCCCTAAGATCGTCTGGTCTGGGAGTCATTAGTTGAAAGCTTATTACATAAGGGGTTAAGGTTGCCTAGATTACTTGAACAATTAAGTTCTTAGGGGTGTTTTAACACTTAATGCCCTAAGATCATCTGGTCTGGGAGTCATTGGCTAAAAGTTCACTACAAGGGTAATTTAGAAAGCTTAATAAACCTGAACATTGCATAGTGTCCTTTTTGAAACAATGCATACCCAGAAAAAAAATTGAAAATGCCTTGGGAGTTGGAATTTAAAGAGTCTACTTGTGAATTAAGGAATAGCAAGGAATAAATGCAAGTATGGATAATAAGCCACACGATGAATTGTAGGATCATTTTCAAAGTATCTATAGAGGTTTAAATTATTGAATAAATGATTGAACTGATATGTGGGGACTATGGTTACTGAATTGAAATTGAAAGTTGAAAGTTTTTCTGATTACATGATTGGTATAGTTGCTGTATTTGACTGATGAATGAACTGCATGGATAATATGATTTGAAAATAGGCTTGAATAAGCTTACTATGCATTTAAGGCATTGATTTGAGAAGTTTGTGGGTATCTTCACTGGAAACCCTCACGAGACTACAACTCATCCACTAGGGGTAACCTAGGGGTTTAAAGGCTTGTTGCATAGGCTAAATGCAATCGTGATTCCCACGAAAGTGACTTTTTAGTTCTGTATTGCTAAGGGACTACCAATATGTAAGTTTGGTGTGTGATGAGCGCTGAATATATGCATATTCGAGCCCCTAAGTACGTATATGTTAGGGCCTAAAGTGATACTTCTATCCATTATTAGACTTATTTATGTTTAATGTGTGTTGTAGGTACTTTCCCAAATAAATGGTTAAAACCAGGACTTTATGATGATATCAAAGCTTACAGAGTCATTGCCGGTTATTCAAAGCAATCCGGGAGCTAAATTGGTGAAGTTTGAAGCAATTCAACCTTAGAGCTCGAGCCCAAGTGTTGAGGCTCGAACATCACAACAAAGAAAAGAAGAAAAGTCAACAAGGCCCAGATGCTCGAGCATCACTACCTTGATGCTCGAGCCTTAACGAGCCTTGACCCTGAAGGTCAAGTATGAGGCGTCGAAAATTAATGAGTTGATTTTTAATTGAAGGCTTTGCTCCCAGGTCTCGTGCATCACTTCCATATTCGAGCACTATCCACAAAGGATCGAGCATCATCCATTGATGCTTGAGCATTTAGCCCCAGATGCTCAAGCATGGTACCTAATGCTCGAGCCTATGAAGCTTGGATCGAGTAATGTTAAAGGAGTTCAACCCAAAAATATTGTAAGTGTTGAAGAAAAAGACGGTTCGAAAAATAGTTGAAGAAAATTGACTAAGTGTCAATCTGATGATCGAGCACCATTTACTGAAGCTCAAGCATCCATCCAGAAATGCTCGAGCATTTGTTCCTGAACCTTGAGCATGAGCCCTAAAGCTCAAGCGTCCGTTCCTGAAGCTCAAGCATTCAATGACATGTCAGAGTAAAAGCTGCGGGATTACTTTTTTATCAGCCGTATCTCATCCCATTTGGGCCAGAAGACCTAAAAGCCCACCAAATACATATTTTCTTCTATAAAAGAAAGCGTAATCCTTGATAGAAAAGGTCTGGAATTTCAATCGCTTTTACGATGTTTTTCAGAAGGCTAAGGGTGTGGTGGCTTTTAAGGTTCCTACAACCTTGAAAGTGTAGATCTTGAGAAGAGAAGTGCAGCCAGTGACGATGGAGATGAACTCAACACAGATGCTATCCAACCTTGTCATGAGTATCTAATCCCTTTCTTAGGGCACTGATGTAACCTAACGTTATATTATGGTTTGATTGTTTTGACTCTGGGTTTATTTTAAAATATAACGTTTTCTTGATTATATGACTATGAGCACTTGAGACAACTCAAGTGGTTTTTCATGCTTTAGTAGACTATAAATTGTTATTACCTTGTCTTAGATTTAATAATTTATGTTCTATTCTTAACCTACTACTTGTTGTATGGTATCTGGCGGAGCCCTGCCAGACACAAGAATAGAGGTCATATAATGGTGTTCCAACATATTTTGCAAAAGAACGTTTTCATAATCTATGCTTAGGAAAGGTGGTTCATTCGCACAGTAGTTAAAGTAGGTAGAGTAGGTAGGCGAATAGTCCACGCTAATTGCAGATAGGTTATAGTTATTTGTAAACCATGAAATTAATTTAAAAGCTAATACAAATTCTATCTCTCTGTGGGTTCGACATCCTCTTTGTATAGAGCTATATCCTACACGATATCATATGATTGCGAGAGATAACATCAAATATGCTAATGCAGTTAAAATAAACTTCTAAACATACGTCCAGATAAGTACGTAAACATGTTATCAAACCAAAACACGCTATCAAGAAGCAACTAAAAACATAGAGCATGGCAACACAAGCATGATATGCACCCAGAACCTATTGTCCTAAGGTTTTCGAACCTAGGAGCTCTGATACCGTCAGTGACAACCCTGGATTTTTACAAACCTAGTGTATCCTGTGATGATCCAAAACGGATCCCAAATGCAGAAGCAAAACATAAGCAAGTCAATAAAGATGTACTTCATTCCTAAGACATGAAAGTGGTCTTCTAAGGAGTCTCGTGACTCAACAGAAGCAAGACCGAGGTTAAAATTTCAAAACCCTCCAAGGAATAGATCAATGGCAAAATTTTCATTCCAAACTGAAATGGGTTCCACCATGCACACCATTAGAAAGACAATGAAAAATGAATGAAGTTAGACTCAAGAATCACTTGATTCGGAGTCCGGACGAAGAAGATGATCAAGCAAAAGAAAGAAAGGTTCTGAGGCATAGATGAACGCATGTCCAAAGCCCAAGCACCGAGCACCCATTCGGCACTCTTCAACACTGAGCGCTCTTTCGGCACTCTTTGACTCTGAGTGCTCGTTGGGTACTCTTCAAGGCTGAGCACCCATTCAGCATTCTTCATGGTTGAGCACCCATTCGGCACTCTTCAAGGCTGAGCACCCATTTGACACTCATACAAGGTCGGTCATTCTGTCC